ATGCTTTTCTTTTCCTTTGCAAAATTAGAACATCCATTGCTTTTCTTACGGTTCCATTACAATAGAGAGGGCATTCATCCAAGATTTTCTATTGAGACAGTGGCATGAAGGCAGGAATGATCTTGATATTCACTTGAGGTAGGAACTAGCGGCCTGAGTAATGAGCATCACTCCAAAGGTGATATGTCGTTAGATTGATCTAAAGATAGGAACAGAAGCCGAAATAGACATTGAGAATGATGATAATGTGGGGTGTTGAAGAGAGATGACCTTCATCTGGCGTCTACAGCTGATTTGGCAAATAATAGCCACAAAAAGTAGTGGGACATATGTGCAGGAAGCAACATGGTATGAGAGCTACTTCACTTTGATTTGTGAGCATTATTTTGACCATGGTTTTTGAACCGCCATTGACTCGGATGGTCGGACCATTTGGCTCAGGAACCATTTAAGTAACCGGTTCTGTTTTACCCCAAATCTGGTTTCTGGCAAAAAATCATTAGATCAGTCAATGACCCACTGACTCGAATGGCCGACCTGTCGATCCATTCAACGTTTTTTTGTTTTTTTAATTTTTAATTTTTTTATATTTTATCAGAATAGGCTGTCCATTCAAACTTGACGATTGAACTGTCGACCCAAAAACTAGTGGCCAGAATGATTCCATTTCTAGATCATTTTTTAAAACCATGATTTTAACTACTCTTTTCAATTAGCTTTTGATTCACTTTCCTACACTATCACAATCAAAGGCAAGTCCTCGATTTGTTTGAGCTCCCAAACTCAAGCTGCAAAAATGATTTGCAACACTATTGGAAATCCTTATGTGGTTCACTTTAAGTATGACCCGAAGATTTCAATTTGAAGAATGGAGAAAAAGTCAAATCATGGTTCTATTGATCTCCTTTGTTCTTTTTTTTTTTTTTGCTTTTTGTGATGAAATTTAAGGATATGCGATATACCCTTGAACTAGGACTGCAGTTAGGTCAGGTTGAGGCCAACCCTAGTCCAACCTTAAGTTTTAAGCCCTAACCCTAACCTTAACTAAATTTCTTCAACCCTAACCCAATCCGAAGTCAATTTCAGGTTGGATTGGGCTCGGATTGGGCCCAACCCAACATTCTTTCCATCCCTTAAAACCTCATAGAATTTTTCGATTTTAGATCTTAACTCAACTTTCACTACATATATTAATCCTATATTTCATTAGTATTTGTTTGTTGACGGTTTTTTTTTTTGTTCTTTTGATACAAAATTCAGAAAAACAAGTGTTAGAAATGACTATAGGTTATTATGAGTTATGGCTTGCGATAGATCTTTCTTGGGCGGCAAACAACATAGAGGAGATGAAGAATAAAATAATGTTATTAAGGTTTTAGTCTTTCTGATTAGGATTAAGTGAAGTGATTATCTTAAAAGAAATACATGATACTATGTGGTGGGGGCTATACAAATATCATGAATCTAAACAAATTAATCAATGTATATTATATATTATATATAACATATATTTATATATTACATGTATTATAGAATCGGGTTTGGGTTGGGTCAGGTTGGCTAAGGGGTCAATCCTAACCCAACACGAAGTAAAGTCACCCTAACTCGAACATCAACCCGATCCAACCCAATCCAACTTTTTCAGGTTGGGTTCGGGCCAACCTGGCCCAAATTGCAGCCTTACCTTGAACTTTAGTTTATGAGGTAAAGTCTCAAACCTTTGTTAGAGTTTTACACTTAGGCCCTGTTTGCTTTTCGGTAAGTTACTTATCCGAGTAAATGCAATTACCTGGATAAGTATTTCTAGGGAAACACTTACCTGGGTAAGTGTATTTACCTATGTTCTTTTATTTCCCAAGTAAATAAGGCAACGATCATTTTAGCCATAAAAATTCATTATTAAAAGGGACATTTTTGTCTCATTCAAGTATTGGCAACTTTCCCTCCAAAGTGGGAAAGTTATTTATCCACCTAAGAGATATGTATCACTTACCCGATTAAGTGATACACAAGAAAATAAACTTTTCCTAATCCCCACATAAATATGAAAAAAGAACAAGGGATTCTTGGTCAATGGGAACCAAAATCCCATTGACCAACTTTCCCCCCTCTCAAAATCCCAAAAAAGAATGCCCCCTTAGAGTTAAGTTATTACCTAAGGCTCAGTTTAAAAGGAGTACAAATACAGATATGCACAGTGCAAATACATGTAATATAATACAAAATATAAGGTTTTGCACTCTACATATTTGCATTTGTACTCCTTCCGAACTGAGAGTGGGAGATTCTAGTCTATAAATAAAAAAAGCCTAATCTTTTTAAGGATACCACATTTTTATTGATAAGTAATAGAATTTTTGAGAGTTCAAATTTCACCCCCACAAAATCTGTTTTCACACCATCCTCGTAGCCCTTACAGTCATGTATTGGAATATCTCCCCATTAATAGAAACATAGAAGTACAGAGATGTTTCCAATGAATGCATGGCTGCAAGGCTGTAAGGACCGTCTGAGGGAAAAATCTTAATTCAATTTTTCAATGGTAATAGGAAGAGCTAAAAGAGTTTAAAATGGAGAACGTGATGTGGAAAACATAAGCAGTTTTTGGGAGGTGTTTCAAGAGCCAAGGTTGAAGGCTTTTATAATTGGGGGGAGGTTTGGTCCTTTTTTAGCAAGTAAATTTTACATTTTCAACATTAGAGTAGTCAAATACTTGTGATCTAACTATTCAATTTTAGGATTTTTCTCCTTTTTATACATTGAACATGTGCATGTATACCATAAAGAGAACTCTGGACTAATGAGCGAAAATAGATAGTTAAGGCAACTAATTATTTTGTACTATGCTTTGTATTATATATGATTATGCAGACCTAGGTGGAAAGTAAGAAATTGTTTGATTATTTTGCCAACTTACTGTGCATCATTTTTAGGTTTTTATGATTTATGTAATTAAGGCTCAGTTTGGAAGGAGTATCAATACAAATACATAGAGTGCACAACCTTGTATTTTATATCATTTTCTATGTATTTATTTGTACTATTTCTGAACTGAACCTTAAAATTATTTGCCTTAAGACTCAGGAGTACAAATACAAATATGTACAGTTGAAAATACATATCAAAATAATACAAAGGGTTTGCACTCTACAAATGTGTACAAATATGTATTTGTACTCTTTCTAACTGAGCCTAAATGTATAATAAAATTCAAATGCAACCTCATTTTTTAACATCAAGTCTTTTATCTATTTTTCTGTGCATCGCACCGGTTTGCCACTAATTTCAAAAGAAGCTATCAAAACTGGTTCCATTGGAAATTTCTCATTTTTAATATGCATTGAGAACATCTCACATATTTAATGTTATCATTCATGGGAATATGTTATCAATTCACAGCTGTAATATATTATCAGGTTGGTATCAGGCAAGCTCTATGAGGAGTAAATCCAATTTTGGAGAACACAAGCTGTCCAAAAATGAACAGTCAATTTTTTTTTTTTTTTTACACTGTGATAGTTTAATTGCTAAATCTGTGGTTAAGCTACGTGGCCTCCACCCAACTTGCACACATGATCCAAAGGCCCATGTTCAACAGCCTTTGTTTTCTCTAAAGCTGTGTTTGGTTTGAAAACCTTTCCTTCGAACCAAACACAGCCTAAGTCTCTCTCTATGAGTTTGGATCACTTCCGTTCTTGATTTATTCATGGGAGATATTTTCAATGTACAGCCATATTGTCTTGTGGCCAGCGTTTTATGAGCAGAAAACCAATGTGCCTCTCTCACACATTAGTTTATGTGTGTGAGTTTCATGCTCCTCCACTCTGGATTTGCTACCCACAAAATGTTTCCATATCTATACCCACAGAACACTATCACTGTGTATTGGGAACATCTCCCTATGAATGAAAAGGAAGATATTCCTAATGCGCAATTGTAATATTGCATAGGTAGAGATTTGGGAACAACTTATGGGCAGCAGATCCCAGCCCTTGCTCCTTTGGGAGGCGGGATCTCCTAAAAACAACCAAAAAAAAAAAATCAGGTCTTAAGCCAAGAGCACAACATCCAGCGGTACATGGAAAATAGGGTAAATTTCTGAAACCTCCTCTTAAGTTTGATAATTGCAATCACCTCCTCTGAATTTTTTGTATGCATGACTTCTATAATTAAAACAATACAAATTTTATGAGCAACAACCAAAAATGAGAGTTTTTGTAGTTTTACATTTGAACGATTGATACGAAGGGCAATTTGAAAAATAAATTAATTTTGAAAAAGAGATTGGAAGGACTTGGAACAGGAGTTGATATGAATAGAAATTTTGAAAAATAAACATTTTTTCAAAGTATTTGTGCCTCTTGTTAGAGGATTGTAATCTAACAAGAAATCGTACTTGCAATTATATCAAAAAATTCAGAGAAGGTTACTTCACGGAAATTTCAGCAATGGTCCAAAATTTCAGGAAAAGTTTTAATATTTCCCCATTATACAAATGTGGAAAATGTTTAAGATTTATGTATGTCTGTGCAGTAACCACACAGCCACGAGACCCACAAGGCCACAATCCCAGCATTATTAATTTGTTACAAACAAATTATCAAGGACCGAAAATCCATGTAAAATTTTGGATTGGATCAATTTGTGCTCGAGCTGACCTCGTTCAAGTTGCACACTCATGCCACGAGTCCTTACACCAATTTTACACGTTCGTATAGCACGGGACGAACGTAAGGGAGAGTCGTATCGACAGAACGGGCTGGCCAAACCTGAACGGCCAAAAGTTTGGCACGTCGCCATAGTTTTAACTCGTGGCCACGACCCAACTTGCACGCATGACCCAAAGCCAAAATGTGTGGATATTATCCCTCCACAACTTACTCAATTTTATCTACAAAAATCAGTTTTTTATTATTCTCCCTATAAAATAAGCCCGGGATTCCGGGAATCAACCTCGAAAACCCTAAACGTGATCACAGCCGTTCATCGAGGTTCATCACAATGTCACAACATATTAACAGTCCGATTCATTTGCTTCGTCAAGCATTAAAAAAATGCTTACGCTTTCGGGAGTCCCAACTCTCAACTCTCAACTCTCAACTGCAACTTAATAAGTCTGGAAAGTGGGAACAAGAGAGCGTCGTCAGTCGTCAGTAAGTCGGTCTCTGTGCTTTCAACTCTGAAGCTCTCCTTCTCTCTCTGATTCTGAGTCTTCCAGATCTACTACTTTCACCTCAACTTTCAGGTAATTCAAGCTAGCGTTTCTCTCTCTCTCTAATAAGCCTTTCAAGTTTCGATGCTTATGATTAATGTGAGCGCAGAACCAAGTATAGAAGATTTTCTGAGCAAAATTTAACTCTTGGTATGCGAAAATTGTTAATCTGAAGGATTTTTTCCACTTGTGAAGTAGTTGTAGTAGTTCAGTTTGGAGCTAGTGAAAATTTCTTCGACAAATCTCCAACGAAAGAAATTTCAGCAGTAGCTACTGAATGCAGTCGTTCCTAAATCGTTGAAACTTGAGCTTTTGTACTATACTTCTTAACTGATCTCTAAGATAAATTTGAAGTACTGAAAATCTCCTTCTGATTGGAATGTGTTTGTTAATTTTGCTTGGAGCAGAGATAAACCCTATTATCCTGAACCACGTGTCCGACATGCGGGTGGCAGTGGTCGGCGCAGGGATCAGTGGCCTGGTTTCGGCTTATGTCCTTGCCAACGCCGGAGTTGATGTGGTACTTTACGAGAAGGAGGACTATCTGGGCGGCCATTCCAGAACTGTTACGATCGACGGTCTTGATTTGGACCTTGGCTTCATGGTCTTCAATCGCGTAAGTGAAAGTCTTCCCAATTTCCCATTGCTTGAGCGGCTCAGATTTCATCTGTTCCGTATAATAATTACGTCACTCACGCACTCCCCGTGCTCTTCAAATAAAAAAAGGCTCGCTTCAACCCATAACCGTTCAATCGATCAGCTTAATTATTTCTTCAAAAACAGATAATTCGTTAAGAATTTAAGAATTTTCTCTTTCGCTTATTCTATGGGTTCGACTATGGTACCGGAAATATCCCAAAAGTGTGATAACCAATCACATGCTACTTATCAAAATTCACAAAGTGCGATTTGATTGGTCAAAACCTTTTTTTGGTATCATGTATTTTCGATATCATAGATTTTTTCATTTTCTATTGAATAAAAACTACGGGGTTTTTATTGAATAAACACCACCACCTCAAATCAGAATTCTGAGGTGGAGTGCAGTCTAAAAATCTCTAAACCACCTTAGTCTTTATTAACTAATCACTAGATGGAGATGGTGCCAATTGGTTTACTTGGTAGATCTATTCTGTGGGTGCATGAAATACGATGAGAAAGAGAAAATTGATAGAATTTTTTTATGTTCTATCTTTTGATTGCAAAAAAGGAAAATAGTGAGAAAATCAAATGATCTTTTTATTATTAATTAATAATTAAATAATTATTACTTAATTGTCAATATTCCCGATGTACAAAAATATAAACATGGTCGGTAGATTCAACTATATATATGGCAATGTATTGTGGTCGGTAGATCCAAATTCGTATTGTCATCAAGGTTGGGGTTATTACCTTTACTGGGTTTATTTGAAAAAATATTTTGGTGGGATTGGGATGGGATGAAAAAGGGAAAAAGGGTGGAAATTTTCATGTTCCATCCATTGATTGCAAAAGGGAAATTAGTGGGAAAATCAAACTATATTTTTATTATTATTTATTAGTTAGATCATGGTTTTCAAAACCAGATCGAATCGGATTGGACCGGGCGATCGGATCGGAAAAATTGGGAATGGTGACTGGTTCTGTTTTTCTCTAAAACCGGATTTTCTCCAAAAAAAACTGTTGATTGGTCAACAAACCATTGACCCAGGCAATTAACCGTTTGAACGGTTTTAATTGTTCTTTTTATTTTTTTATTTTTTTTGTCAAAACGATCGAACCGTTCAACTCGAGAATCGAACCCCTGACCAGTTCGTTCTCTGTGTTAGTTTTAAAAACCTTGAGTTAGATATTAATTATTAATTACTAAATAATTAATATTAATAATTATTATTTAGTTAACTAATATTTTAATTTAATAGCTATATTTTTTGTCATTAATATTTTCTTTTATTAAATAATAAATAATTTTAATATTTTATTATTAATAATTAATTAATTATTTATTTATTTATTTTATTTTAATTATTAACTAAGTTAACTAAATTAATTAATTTATATTTTATTAAATGATGAATTTATTAATGGGTATTTTTATGGTAAATAATTAAACTCTTTAAAATAATACAATGAGATGTTTTTTATGTTAAAAAAAGTTTCCTCCTTGTTTCACACCAAAAGGGTGTAAGTACACTTATGATAATTGAAATCCTGCCCCTTTTATTCATGAGACTGGATCTGCTCCTCACACTGACTTTACAGGGACACATCATGCATTGGTAACATCTTCCATATTTATACGTTAATATTCATGGGAAATGTTTTCAATGCATGGTGAGATGTGCTTGTGAGACCGGTGTGAGAAGCAGATCCCAAGTCTTATTCATAACATCCCACAAACTAAGCGTAGTAGAGTTTAGATCTGCTCTTCAGAGAAGAGAGTGAATCAGCTACATTCCCGCCCTATACTGAGAACATCTTTCATGATAATATCAGGAATGATGATGTCATCACTAGGAGATATTCCCAATACACGGCGGGAATATATTGTGAGACGTTGTGGGGGCAGTCTTGTGTGGGGCTGATTTGAACTCTTCAGAGAGCGCTCCTTGCACCAATGTTAGACATCCCAGCCACACATGGGAACATCTATATTATTTTTATGGAGATGTTCCCAAGTTTCCAATACAGTGGATATGTGTCATGACTCATGAGGTCGGTGTGAGATGCAATACGAGAGCAGCAAATCCCGATTCAGCGTAGGAAGGAAAGAAAATTCAAAATATTCAATTTTTCCTTTCTATTCATACGCTGTTATGCAAACCAAACAGAACATTATGGGTAGGGAGACAGCCAGACAAGCTACCTCATATAGTCTCATAAATCTTTAAAAAAAAAAAGACTGTTTGTTTGCTCTGAAATCTGACATTTGAAAGTGCAATAATTACATTAAGAGGTATACCGATATTGGTGAATTTTTCTTTCCTTTGAACTCTGAATGTAGAGAATGTTGTTCTGAACTCTGAACTCTAAATTCTGAATATTATCAAATATCTATTTTGACCTCATTGGAAAACAAAAAGTTGTATGATTGCACTTTAAGAGATAAGAGATAAGAGGAAATGAACAATCATTTTTCTCTTAAAGTTAAAAGATTCCTCTTAAGAGATAAGAGTTAAGAGGAAACGAACAGGCCTGTAGTCTCATAAATGGAAGATAGATGGTAGGCAAACATTGTACCACGCGTCAGCCTGACATGTGGTCTGCGTTTAGGAAGCTGATGTTGCTTAAACATTTATAGTAAGTGGGGAATTCACATGGTTGTAATTTTCCCGCACGGGAACCACACTTTGGTATGATGATTGAAACATTTATTAACTTTTTACCAATAAAACCATTATTAAAAGGGAAAATTCAAGATTAGTACCCACTTTGGGTTTAATGCGATTTTAGTCTCTGAATTTTAAAACACGACAATTTAGTATTTGAACTTTCAAAACGTGCCAATCTAGTATATGTCATTAATCAGTTCGTTAATCAGCCATTAAGTGTCATTTGAAAATATACAAATACCCTTCAAGTGTCATCTAATTCTCTTTATCAACCATCCAAACATTGACAAAAAATGAAGTCTCAAATCCTTGCCTCTTCTATTCAAGAAAGTTGGGGTCACTAGAATGATCACTAAGACGTAATCCTAACTTTCTTGAATAGAAGAGGCAAGGATTTAAGACTGTTCATTTTTTATCATGTGGATAGTTGATAAAGAAAATTAAATGACACTCAAATGGCATTTGTATTTTTTCAAATGCCACTTAATGGTTGGTTAATAAATTGGTTAATGATAGATGCTGGATTGACATATTCTGAAAATTCGGATACTAAATTATTGTGTTTTAAAGTTCAAGACCAAAATAGCATTAAACCCAATGTAAAGGGTACTAATGGGAATTTTCCCTTTTTAAAACAACATTTACATGCTTTGGTGTGAAGTACATTATTTGCCTCCACTCATCTCATTTCATGGCAGTGGGACTTTTGATCACTTGGAATCATAACTGCTACACACGTTGTTCACACCCTACCACTATATATTATACCTATAGATCAGGAATATCTCCTCCCATAACCTACAGTGCAGAATCTGAATCTGGTTCTCAGAGAGCTTTAATCACACCGCCTCAAAACATGTTCCAGCCACTTGTATCTTATTATTCATGAGAGATGTTCTCAGTATAAGGTGGGATATAATTGTGAGGTGAGTTTAGATCACCTGTCAATAAAATACATTCAAATAACTTAGACATGATTTCATACAAACATCTCATATACAGTGGGTCCCATTTTAATGATGGGTATGCAGTGTTAGATCAAATTGGTAGAGCCGTAGAGAGTTTGAACATATTTTGTTGGCAAAAGATCCCAACTCATATGAGGTCGGTGTGAGGAGCAAACCCAATTCAACAATTTAAACTCTAAACTATTAAAGGGAGACGGGATCTGCTCCTCACAAATGGGTGCCTCACATGCACATTCATCGTGCATTGGGAACATCTCCCGTGAATAATAATTAATAAATACGGGAGATGTTCCTAATGCATGGTGGATGTGCATGTGAGGCGCCAGGTGTGAGGAGCAGATCTGGTCTCTATGAAAGGATGTTCTTTATGTGTGCTTTTTGACTTTTAATTTTAAAATGGCCTTTGGCAACCAATTTGAAAGTCCCAATTTGCTCCTCACACCCCAACTTCATAGTATGTCTTGACTGTACATTAGGAACATTTTCCATACTTGTATTTATTTTTCATGGTAGAATGTGACTGTGAGCAAGGATCAAAATATCGATACGGTGTGCCTGATACGAGGTGTATCGTATCGATATCGGGTCATACCGGCACGGGATACGCTACGACTGGAAATGTTCCTTCTAGTCATGCGTATCGGTCCGATACGCCACTGTATCAGTGTATCGTGCAGTATCAGCCAATACAGTCCGATACACATCGATATGGAAGCGTATCGAACCTCCTTTTGACAACTTCAATATAAAAAATAAAAAAACTTGCGGCTGGCGTGACTCAAATCTAAAACCGCATCTCGCCTAACGCCAATTAGCAACCCATCCTTAGCCACTAAGACAACATTTCTTTCATGTCAATAATTGAAATAAATTAATTTTTATCACTTACTATTCACATAAAATCTCAACAACCAACATACACTTATCTTCAACAACTTCAATTACAAATTAAAAAGAATAATATTTAAAATTAATATTTTATAAACCAATAGAATAAATAATCTACCAGATCCACATTTATATCAAAAAGTTGATTTTTAATTTAAAGAAATTTTAAAATATTAATAATAGAATAATTACTTTAATACTTAAAATTTACTAATTTGCACATGATATATATATATATATATATCATTTTTTTAAATTATTAATTAATACCTTAATTTGCATTAAATAACCATGTATTTATTATTTATAAAAAAAATATTATTTATAAAATATTTTAAAATGTAATATAAATTGAACCTATCAAATCCATTAATCTATATTTATATTAAAATTTGTTAATTTTCATATAATATATATCTTTGAAATTTAAATAGACTCGATATATT